TATCCAGATTTGGACCATTATCTATGATGAAGGCCTTTGGGATTCCGAATCTGCATATTAGATTGTTCCAAACGAATTTTTTCACTTAGACGTTTGTCATATTTGCGTATACCTCTGCCTCTGCCTCTGCCTCTGCCCATTTGGTAAAATAATCAGTGGTTAACAGGGCATATCTTTTTTGTGATGCCGCCATTGGTAGAGGTCCTACCACGTCCATTCCATATTGTGCGAACGGCCATGGGCTGCTCATGGTATGTATTTCTTCTGGGGGTAGTTGGACAAGGGGGGAATACCTTTGGCACTTGTCACATTTGCGAGAGTATTCTTCTGCTTCCCTTGCCATGTAGGGCCAGAAATAATCTTGAGTGAGGGCTTTATGAGCCAGTGACCTGCCCCCAGAATGATTTCCGCATTCCCCTTCGTGTATTTGTTTTAAAACTTCTCGGGACTCCATAGGGGTCAAACATTTGAGGTAGGGCCCGGAATGCGATCACCTAAAGAGCTGTCCTCCTACAACTGAATATTTGGCAACTTTCATCCTTAGCTGCCAGGCCGCTTCCTTAGTGTTGGGGAGTTCTCCTCTCTCAAGGTAAGCTAATATTGGGTCTATCCAGCTTGGTTCCCATGGGATGACCAGTACTTGCATTCCCCTTGTGATGTTTGGCATATCTAGGATATCAATGGGGACGACCCTGGTTAGTGATTCGTCTATTATGGATGATGTGCTCGTCAGGTGATCGGCTATCGGATTTTCTTCCCTCGGGATTTGCTGAAACTTGACTATATCAAAGTACTTGCCAGTTTTTCAACCTCTTCTCGGTATGCATTCATTTTGTTCTCTCTGGAGGTGTACTATCCTGTCACCTGCCTGGTGATGAGCTGCGAATCACCATAGGCTCTGAGGTGTTTTACTTGGAGTTCTTTGGCCAATTGGAGCCCTGCCAACAGCGCCGCATACTCTGCTTTATTGTTTGTGGCCAGGAATTCTAGTCGGATTGACTATTGGATTCTGGTCCCCTCGGGAGTTCTTATCTCCAGCCCTGCTCTAGCTTCGTTTTGGCTAGAGGAACCATCGACGTATAACTCCCAGCAAGGGTCTTCTGTGATTTGCTGTTCTTCCCCCAGGTCAGTGTCCAAGAGAAAATCTGCAATCACTTGCCCTTTTTTTGCGGTGCGTGATTCGTAATGAATGTCAAAGGAACTTAACTTGATTGCCCACTTGGTGATCCGACCTGAAATATTCAGTTTACTGAGAATTGCTTTGATAGGGTGTATTGTGGGGACTATTATCCGATAAGCCTCAAAATAGTGCCGAATTTTCATTTTGGCCTGAACTAGAGCAAGGATGATTTTTTCTATCATTGAGTACCGGCTTTCTGCGTCAATCATGGCCTTGTTGGAGTGGAAGACCACGTGTTGCTTTTTTCCCACTTCTCTTACTAGGGCTGAGCTGGTTGCTGACTGAAATACTGCTAGGTAGAAGTACAACGACTATTCAGGCTCTGGGGCAGATAAAATTGGGGGATTTGTCATGTACTCCTTGAGTTTCACGAGAGCTTATCTTTGTTCTGCCCCCCAAATATCTCATTTTCTTGCTTTGATTGCGTCGAAGAGTGGTTTACATTTGTTTGATAATCTGGATATAAAGCGGCTAAGAGCTGTTATTCTCCCAGTAAGGACTTGGAATTCCTTCACAGTTCGGGGCTCCTGGCTCCGTAGCAGTTTTGCCAACTGGGTGAGACTTGCTTCTATTCCCCTCTTGTTCACCAGATGACCGAGGACACTCTGAAAGAACACTTTGCTGGGTTTAACATCATTCTATGTTTCCTAAGGGTATCAAATACATCCTGCAGGTGTTGCCGATGATCTTTTTTATCTTTGCTTTTTACAACCATATCGTCTATGTAAGCTTCGACCGTTCGGCCGATCTGCTCTTCGAACATTTTGTTGATCAATCTTTAATAGGTTGCCCCTGCATTTTTTAATCCGAAGGGCATCACTTTGTACCAGTAGGTACCACGTTCGGTGATGAAAGAAGTCTTCTCTTCATCCGAATGATTCATCGGGATCTGGTTGTAACCTGAATAAGCATCAAGGAAAGTCAGTTTTTCATACCCGGTCGTAACGTCTACCATCTGATCGATCTTGGGGAGTGGGAAGCTATATTTTGGGCATGCTTTGTTTAGGTTGGTGAAATCAATGCATACTCTCCATTTGCCATTCTTTTTCTGGACAACCACCACGTTTGACAACCATTGGGGGTACTGGACTTCTCTGATGAATCCTGCTTCTAAAAGTCGATTGACTTCCTCAGCAATGATTTTATTTCTTTTGGGGGCAAACCTTCTCTGCTTTTGTTTCACCGGATGGTGGCTAGGGTCCACTTTTAGGCTATGACAGGTTATTCGTGGATCAATTCCCGGCATGTCCCAGTGATTCCAAGCGAAGATGTCGGCGTTCCGCCTCAGGATTTATGTCAGCTCCTCCTTTTCCTGAACTGACTGGAAAGTTCCTATATAGGTCAATTTGTGCTCGTCCCCTGCGACTAACTGCACGGCTTCTAGGGGTTCCTCGGTAAGATGCTCTTCTTCCAGTTCCTTCCTCTCTTCGGGAGAGGAAAAGCTCAGTAATTACAATTTCAGCAATTTCTTACCCTTATCAGAGGGATAAATCGTTGTGTGGTAACACTCCTTTGTTGTTACTTGGTCCCCCCAGATATCGATGACCTCCTGACCGTTCAGGCTCACGCATCTCATGACTTGGTGCAGGGTTGATGGGACTCCTTCTATGCGGTGGATCCATCCTCGGTCCATTAGCAAATTGTAGGTAGGATGAATATCCACAATCACGAAGTTCTCTTTCAAAGATCTTTTGGCTGCACTGACTGATAGTGCAATTACACCTGTGGGTTCCACTCTTCTTCCATCGAATCCTACCAAAGGGCTTCTAGTGGGGTGAATCTGATCTGTGGCCAATTTTAACTGATCGAACGTCCACTTTGTTATGATATTGGCACTACTGCCGGGATCAATCAGTACTCGTCTGACCAGGCAATTAGCCACTAGTAGGCTAACTATTAATGGGTCTTCGTGCGAGTGTTGAACCCTTCTGAGATCTCCTTTATGAAAAGAAACTTGTGCAAGATTGGGTTTGCAGTCAACAGCGTTAATTTCACCAATCCTCTGCAGCTTATGGGCTTATTTAAGCTGGATCCTGTAGGAATTTCCCGATTGCTCATCCTCCTCTGGACGGCCGTGAATTGTGTTGATTACTCAGACATGATGGTTTTCTACCGTGGCCTTTGGAATTGCCCGGGTTCGATCTTGCTGCCTTTGTTATCCCGGGGTAATCAAGTAATCAGTCAATTCGCCCTTGGCTATTAACACCTCCACTTGTCTTCTCAAGCTCCTGCAATCATTGGTTAGGTGGCCAAAATCACTGTGGAATGCACAGTGCTTACTTTGGTCTCTCTGCTCCATTGGCTGTCTGATTGGTGGTGAGATCTGGAAGATGTTTCTTGCCTTAGTTTCTTAATACAGTCTGGCCAGCGTTACTTTGAGAGGTGTGACTCTTTTGGCCGTTCGGGACTTCTTCTCAGGGGCTCGTCCCTCGATGGCCCGGGATTCCCGATGGACCCTCGAGGTGCTCAGCTGTTCCTTCGGTCAGTTTTCCACTGTAACCATAGTCGCTCTCTGCTGTCTAGTTACTTTGTTTTCTTCGAGTTTGATGTAGTTTTGTGCCCACAAGTTCAACTCTAACATGTTAGTTGGGGTTTTCTTCACCAGAGAAGAGTGGAAACGTGATCCTTGCACCATAGCTATCTTGAATGCTTCTATGGCTGTGTCTTGATTACAATCTGAAATGCCCGAAGATTCCATGTTGAATCGGGTGAGGAAGGTCTGTAGGCCATCTCCCTTCATCTGTCGAATCGTGAAGAGACTGGCAATGCTTTTTTTCTGCTTCTTGTTTCCACAATACTGGAACGCAACGCACAGTGATTCGAAGTTTGGAATTGACTTGCATGGGCAATTCTTGAACCACTCAAGGGCCACCCTCGTCAGACTGGATGGAAATATTTTGCACATGAATAGATCGTTGTGCGCCTCCAGTGTCATTTCCAGAGTGTAGTGGTTCAGGTGTTGGAGTGGGTCTCCAGTCCCATTGAATTTAATGAATTTTGGCATTGTGAATTTCTTGGGTCTTGCGACCCGTTCTATCTCATCTGTGAAAGGGGTCTTCACTATTGACGCAGTGAATTCTCTTGCCATGTCTTCGGGCGTTTGGGCTTTCAGCCCTTTGATTCGCTCGTCTATTTCTTTCCAGACCCTGGTGATAAAGTCATTCCCCGAAGACGGTGGATCGGTTGCTGGGGTCCACACTTCTTTTCTACCTGAGTCTATGTCATCTGATGGATAGACTTTGGTGGCTCGAGGTCCCCCAACATTGGAGTTCCCTAGGGTGCGGGATTGATTTATGGCATCGTTGGCGTCCTCCAGCGTTCCATTGAACTGTTGGAGTGGAGCCTTCTGCTGGTGAGGTGGATTATCAGTGCCCGGCTCCATGGGGGGATCTTCGTTCTGACACTTGGGCCGAGGGTCGATCGGCAAATCGTTCCGCCTAGCGTTGCCTCGAAGTCTTTCCTTTTCCCTATGTAGAGTGTTGATTTGCACCGCACTGGCTTCCTGAGCTTGCCTTAGCATATTGATTTGCTCAGCACTGGCTTCATTGGCTTGTCGAAGGACGTTAAGTTGCACTTGCATTTCTTCACGTATTTTCTGCATGGTCTCCTGTTGCTGCGGTTGAATGGCGTCCTGTCCGGTTGCCATTCCGGAGTGATGTCGCAAGCAAGAGATAGAGAACGGACTTCTTGTATCGAAATCCCACAGACGGCGCCAAAGTGTAGGTGCAATTTCTCACACCCGAACACCTGAAGAGATAAATTATAAAAAACACACAGAACAATCAAGAAGGGGACGAATAGCTCTTTAAGAATGTAGTAGTATTGGGAATTCGATGCCTCTTCATTCTCATTCAGGCTCTATTTATAAGTTTTTTCTCAGAGATTTACATGGAGCCGTTTCTTGGCTTTTATTCCCAAACGTGAGTAATTATGCCTACTGATCATGCATACATCATTATGGCAAGCGTTATGGAATTTGGGCCTTGTTAAGACTGGGCCGCCCATTCAGCCCTTGTGTAAAGTAAAACTTCTTTCATTTTAATTGAGCTGAACTGGTACATGCATAAGGCCTCCTCTGTTGGGCCTTCCACTGATTGTGAGCTTCTAGTTATCTTAATTTGGTTGTGGGCTGCTTTTCACCGCCACGTGATGTGTTATGACTGGTGGGGCTTTTTCCCTCCACAAACTGGTATAGCATTTTGGAAGGGTTCATGTGTAGGTACAGAATTTGTATGCAACTTACAAATTCACCTCTCCAATTCTCTTCAATGGAGATTTTGTCAATAAGATGGAGTAAGGTACTCCGGAACTCCTCTCCGTCACACCATTCACGAATCTCTGCCTTGACAAGCTCTGGGTTGCTGCTAATGATCTCCCACAACGGAAAGTTCTTCCTTCGCATCAGATAATTCTTCAAGCGTCAAACCCACGCAAAAATCAGCACTTCCATCTCCGAGATAGATGAAACGTTTCGTTCCTCTAGTAGGTAGCGAAGATCAAATCTTTTCCAACACGACAACCTGCAAGAGAAATACCATTTTTCAGCCAAACAACTTTGAGCAACTCTTACTGCACAGCACTTGGTATGACTCCAGAAGTTGTTATATCTCTATAATCCTAATTACTTCACATTTCTACCAATTTCAACCATAGACAGACATGTTAGAAAATATTGCCTTAGTCAAATTTTCTTTTATTTCTCTATAAATTGCACACATTATTAAAAGCTATTCTAGACCATTTCCTACATTTTATTTGGGGATCAGGCACCTTTTTATATCATATTAAAACCTCATTAGTCCAAGCCATGGCAAAAGGGTTATAAATACTACAATTTATTAAAGTAACACAAGCATCTTAGGAGGACTACCACCAGTAATCCATCCTGATCAAAATTTTCATTTTCATTTCTATTACTTGGAAGCTACATTACTGACACAAATAGGAACAATAATCATAACTGAAATAAATTACATGCAAAACAAAACACACCATAAAAAATTGCATAGTAAGATAAAAATTAATACATGAATCAGCTGTTAGATGGTATAGACACAACTATTTTACCATACAATAACAATATTATTCATCTAATCCATAAACAATGACATTGCAAATAATAACTTAGAAAGCACAGGAAAACCTTTTTTTGGCAAGTTTAGAATCGTTGAGTTTGAGCCAAGATTTGCTCGTCAATATATTGATCTCCTTAGTAATCACATCTTTGACTTTGAAGGATCCATCACTGGGGATCATAGTGAGGACATGCTCTTGACGAGGTATGACAACATCACATAAGTATGGCCCAGGTGTATCCAACATTTCCAAACTTGCAGTCCTGAGATCTCCTTTCTTCATCACAAGGGTAGCAGGTGTCTCGTAAGCTTCTGCAAACTTTAATACATCTGGGAATTTTTCTCATTTGATGGTTTACCTAGATATGTGTGGGCCTATTAGCCTTATAGAACTGATACTCCCATCGGACAACCATTACCCCAAATGCGAATCATCCCGTAATGTGATCTAATTGGGAAGATTCTCCAGCCAAACTGTCAACTCCTCCTGGACATTCATGATAAAAATTCCATCGCCATCAATGTCCACAACCGACCTTGTAACAGCAGCTCCAGCAGGCAACCCAAAACCCATTAATCCCAATTGACCTATTATACTTGTTAAACTGTGCCATCCACATTCTATGCTGCCCAATACCAGTACTTATTATCGCATTACTCCTGGTCAACTTGTCCAGCACCTTTGAGGAGGAATAGCATCTCCAAAAGTCTAGTAACTCAATGAGCAATTCCTTTTATGCTCATCTAGTTCCTGCCTCCAAGATGAAAAAAGTCTAGCTTATGCTCAGCTCCTTTCCCCTGCAAAATATAGTTTCTGCTCGTTTTATGTTCAGTGAATTCCCAGTGTTCTTCACTATGATTGTTTGACAGTAAAGGGAACCTAAATTCAATAAAGAAAAAACTTCTACGGCATCCTAAAACCTCATATTAAATATTTGATTTTTGAGTCTGTGACAAAACTATAGTTATACCAAAATTAATCAGAGAATACAGAGGCAACTATAATTGATGTAGGATTAATTTTTAACAATTCAATATACCAATTGAACAAACCAGCGATATCTTGTAACATTTGTCAAAAACTATCACATGGTTAATAATCTACATCAATTTAATATGCTCCTTATTAAAGTGCCTAATAGTAGCATGGACGGAGACAATATAACGCAAATATGCCGACATAAAATCTTGATTTTCATGATGAGGACATGACAATAAGATCAATATTTTTTATATATAAATATTATGCATGCAACAACAATTTTTCATTTCAAGAACCAAATATTATATAATTGTAATATGAATTCTGCAATTTATAAATCATATAAAACAATAAAATCATTTTTTTTTTTCCTCTAAAGCATTTATTTATGAAAGATTATTCAGAAGTGATCTTCTTGTTTATTATGGTAGTTGAAATTTTTTTATCTTATGGTTGTTCAAGGTCGCCCCCCTCAAACAATTTCTGGATCCGTCAGTGATGAGCATGATATAATATTCTTCTAAAACAGAACTGTTTTATCTAAATTGTGTTCCTTCAAGCCCTTATTTTAATAGAATTTAACATTTTATTTGATTTAAGAAGAGAATTAATAAAGTAATCAATACTACCAAAAGAAACAGAGAACACACCAAAAGTTACAATCTTAATTTGAATAACATGTTTCATGACTATTAGATAACATTTGAATATACAATTACAACCTCATCAATGAAAGCTGATATGAAGTGATCAAATAGAAGTCACCAACAGGTCAGTGGCTTAGCGGTACTAAGCCCCTACTTCTCAAAGAGAGGTTAGGGGTTCGAGCCTCGGTGGAGGCATGTGTGTGTGAGTACCAACTAGGAAAAAAAAATAGAAGTCCACAGAATATCTAGATTAGACATTATCAGGAAGAATAGGAAGTGTTTTGATACTATTAGTTCTAAGATCTCAATCAAAATCAAAGGAAATCCGTGGTGATCTATTGGAAGATAATTCAAACAACCCTATTCTTGTTATGAAGTAGATGAAAGACCTTTAATTACACATGCAGCAAACTACAAGATGTGATTAAAAAATTGTTCCAAAAAGCATATCAATTTGATTAAAACTAGTAAATAATTTTTAAAAAGCAATACATTGATATATATATATATATATATATTACTGAAGTTGGCTGATAGAATAACATCTCTCTCAGCTATGGATATTTGCACCATATTTGGTTCTCAGACAAGTACGAAGACAAGAGGGAGAGGATATTAGAGAGAAAAAGCAGTACTGAAGAAGAAGGCTCAGTGGGAAATAAGAAGAAAGAGAATTATCATTTAGGGATATCAGTAGTTAAAGCTTCACTGGGGTTCTTGACAAACTTTGAGGACACCTACAGGATCTGGGCATTTGTTTCTTGCTTTCTGGATGCAGACATTGTGGAGAAAGAGCGATGGAGATACAAGACCCTTAATCACATAACATGTGAAGTTTAGACTAGACTTGTTTTATCATTCTTTGCCACTATGAGGAGCAATAGTTTAGTGTTCAATGGAAGCGTTCAGTTATGTCAGTTAAAATAGTTGCACATAAAATACACACCAAGTATACCATTAACAGTAGAGATAAAGACACTTCTTGTTCTGTTCATTCAAACTTCAAGTAGCTGTATTATTAGATGATACTTTGTTGTAGATTTATTAATAAATTGCATTGAGAACATAATAACAAAATCTCATCACTGTCAATATTTGAACTAGTGATCAGTCAAAACTTAACTAGCCAACATGTAGTCAGTTACCCTGAATTAGGTATTATTGAAAAGTACTATATCAAGGTTCAGAAGCAAAATGTTTCATGTGCTAATTCATTAACATGCAGATTACTGCATATTTTAGTAATGTATACAACAATGTTATAATCATATTCAGACATACATGGTTCACAGACATTCCAAGAAGATTAAAATTGGATGGAAAAATAAAAAAGCTCAGCCAGAGTTTAAGAAATAAAGCAACACGGAATAATTCAAGAGAACTTTTGGAAAATTAAAAATCAGAAAACCAGATAAATGAATCAACATGTCCACAATATGTTGTCATTGGTATATACCAGTCCGATGGAAGAATTGAAATGTAAATATCAGATATGATAATCAAAATGCCCAAAAAATATGGTTTCCGAAAATCCGTGATGTACTCTAAAATGGAGTAATTTTTGGTTGAGACTTTGGATAGGATAAACAATGCCATCCCATAAATTTGTAAAACACACTCCATCCTACATATTTGCAGATAACACAACATACCATAAATTTGCAGCACACGCGCATGCACAAACAGAGCATTCCATAAGTTTGCAGCATAAACACGGGAACACACAGAGTCACAAACAAGGAAGAAAAGAACTTTGTCAACTCAGAAGACTAATCACCAGTGACTTGCCTAACTTCATTTTTTCAGATACCTAATTTTAACATTAGATTCTTATGTTTGTATTAGCTCTTCTGATTTCCCATTTTTCATTTTTTCAAGACACTATAATCAACCAAAGGAACTACATTGCCCGACTCCTCAAACTCTGTTGAAGAAATCCACGTATGATCACACTTACGAGGAGTAACAATACTTCAATACCTATTTTCAGCAATATCAGTATGGATTGGACATCCAAAAGGTTTTTATTTAACCAGATGAGGAGGTACAATAATTGAAGGATGGATTGCATCAAACCTTATGCACTAGTAAGGGGTCTATTGCATAGACCTAGATATGACCCGCCAATTGAATCAGTTATGATACTATAAAAAGTGAAATTGGAATGAAGATGGAGGTTGTTGCCAATATATAACAAGACAGCAATTAATATGGAGAGAAAGGAGGCTGTTGAAAATCACTTTCAGTTTCAGTGTCTATACCTTTGACAGAGAAACAAAGACAGAAGAAGGGAGGAGAAATCACTTCTTTAAAAGAAATATTTGTGTAAGTTTCTTTAAACGGTCGCCTTAACAAACATGAGATATAAGAGATATGTGGTAAGAATGGGATATCATGCTTCTAATGTCACACCAGGCTCTAGGTTCATATTTTTATAGCTCCCACTCTTGGATTTATTTATAAGGATGTAATACAACCTAATGAATAGTAACAAAATAAAATAGACAATAATATGGACAAGTAAAATAGTTGCTCATAATAACTACAATCCTACTGTGCATAATAAAATCTCACACAATCTGATACTCCAATTTTTTTCTGTTTCTTTCTCCCGAGCATCTAATATGAACTACGAACGGGATAATAATGTTCGTCTAAAAAACATCACTGTTTTACCAAAATTGTGTTCCTTAAAGCTCTTATTTTAACAGAATATAAATTTTTTTTAGTTAATTTAAGGAGAGATTTAAAAAAGTAATCAATACTATCAAAAGAAACAGAGACAACACGAAAACTTACAAAGTTAAGTGGATATGAAATGATCAAATAGAAAACCACTTTAATGCCCCGCATTGGTTACAAGCCCACGCTACTGGGCTCGGCAATACTGGAAGGTAATACTGCATAATATTAATTAAAAAATCATATTATGTTAAACCAATGTGGGATTTGGTTCAAATCAGTTTCTCGAGTAAAAACTTTTTATCAACTAAAAATAAATTACCTACAATTGGCGTTTCGTCTGCCGATCACTCCTCTCTGGACTTGCCCGACAACGGAACAATGAGGACTCAGTCGAGCAATGCATTGTCACGATTTGGAGGACTTTGACGAGTACATTAGAACCCAATCTGAGTTTGTCTTCGAGAATCGAGAAATAGAGGTTTTGGGGTTTACGACGGTGGTGGTGGTGGTGGTGGTGGTGGTGGTGGTGGGTTTGGGGTTGCAGAGGACGTTTGAGATGTGGAGAGGACGGTGGAGAGTGGGGTTTTGAGGTATGTGGAGGGTAAAATTAGAATGAGACGGCCATTTTTGAGGTTCAGATAAATACAAATTGTGTGGGGTTCTGGCAAGGGAGGGTTTTAAAGAGGGATGATTGATGAAGGAGCATTGGGCTGTGTTTGGAAGGAAGGATATGAACAGAAGTGGAGAGGAGAATAGAAGTGGGGAAGAGAAGTGGTTTCCATGTCAAGCCTAGAATTTTATTCACGTAATTAGAATTTGAGTGACATCAATTTTTAGTTTCACAAATGGGGGTTGCATTAACGTGAACTATTCTAATGTTTTATTTATTTATTTTTTGAAAAGTCCAAATTCAGTGTTAAAATCTGAAAAGAAAATTATAATTTAGTAATACTCCCTCCGTACCATATTAGTAGTTCAATTCAAAAATTTTGATTCACTACCACTTTTTATTTTGAGTCAGATCATTTTTAGTCATATTCCTTTTATATATTTATATAATAGCTGTATCTTATATTAGATGTTTACATTGGTTACTTGTCAAAATTTTTAAAGAGGACAACTAATGGAGGTAGTACATTTTTACATTTCAAAATTAAAATTTAAGAGTTTAAACAAGAATTGTCCTATAAAAGGCACTTCTTGAAGTTTTTCACATAAGTTTTAAATCTCTGTTCCATTTATACTATTTTATAATTAAAATTAAATTTTTATTATAAAATTATTATTTTTGTTTAACAATTTAATCATGTTTAGCATTTGTTGGAAACATTTTTGAATAACTCGAAAAGTCATATGCCTTTGTCATTTTATTTTTTTAACCAAAATTTTACTCTCCCAAAATAGGAATTCAATGGTCTGTTTGATTTGTAACTCTGTTTATCTAAAAACAGACCTTTTTATAACTGAGTTTTCAGAAAACTGAAACAAATAGAATTTTTTGAACAATTTTTTGTTTTTTGAAAATAAAAAATTATTCCCAGAATTACAAACCAAGCCCCAATTTTTATGCGAGTGGTGTTTTAATAGGTTTTTTATTGTATTGATATGAGTGAAATTTCAAATACGTTATTATTAAAAGACAAAATAGTATTCCATAATTAGTGTAATTGTTTAGTTAAAATGATAGTTTGAAAATGTTATAAAAAATAATATAACCAATTTTGAAATGAGACCTTTTTTTTTCTTTTTTTTTTTAATATCTCAAAATAAAAAAATGGATACGTTTTTTAGCACCGAGGAGGAAGTATCACATTATTTTAAAATTTTAAAATAGCAAGTGTCAATGTTAGGTGAATAGTTTGAATTCATAATTGATGTAATTGATGATACTGAAACTTATTTTATTTTATTTTATTTTTATTTTATAAATAACGTATTTCTTAAAAATATAAAGTAGTTATACGTATAACCTTGAAGGGCTTATAGGATGGAAAAATCTTTGGGTGTGGAGTTGAATCTTGAAGGAGGAGCAATTCAAATGGTGTTTGGCCTCCAACAATCACTGCAAAGGTGATTGGTCCAGACAGTCTAGTACCTGGAAACTTGTATGTGTTCATCAATACAGTATCATTCATTCAAATGATTTTTGAAATGGTTCCTCAAACACACTGCAATATCTTCAATTCGTTTTCCCTTTAGAGTTGAACTCCATCATCATCCTGTCTTAATAATGTCACATATATATAATGATACCAACATTTTAATTAAGTAGAAACTAGAAAGTTAAATGAACTCTAAAAATTAAACGTTGTTCTTAAATTATTTTTTAACAGAAGGTCAAACTTTAGCTTTATTTCTTTTTAATTTATGGTGGGCCACTAGCCATGGTGGTATGAATAGTATTTCAAAATAGATTTTAACCCTGGCTTTCGAGACTATTTAGTATTTATTTAGAGAACTTCAAAAGAGTGAAGAATTGAGAAAAGTTGAAGATTTTGCAAAAATATCCAACATATTTCTCGATTTGTACTAAAAATCTTCAAATCTTGAAAAAGATGAATCACAAATTATATGGAAAGAATACAAGAATCTAGAGAAGTGGAAGTGACTATAAATAGTATTCAGTTTCTCAATTTTCTACTTTTGAGCTCACTCTCTGAAATAAGCATCATGATTCCATCTAAATTCCTACCATATTCAAAAGGAAGAATAATTCCAAAAATGACAGATTGTGAGCTCTAATCACACCACTCTTTTTTGTAGATGTAGTAACTCCACCCATTTCTGACTTCACTTATTCTGATTCACAATCGTTTTTATCAATTTAAATATTTTAGTAAAACAGCAATCGTATTAAAACTAATTATGCCCCAGCCTCCTGACAACTTGCTATACATTTGTTGTCAGAAGGTCTGTTCCATGTTGTTTGATGAAACAGGAAGAAATCTGCCCTTCAGTGAAAGGATGAAACAGGATGATAGGCCTGCCTTGGAATCTGCACTTCACTGAAGACAGTATATTGCTCTTGGATGAATGTTTATATGAAAGGATGATAGGAGTTATGCATTTACTTACTAGTAGTTCAGCACTAAGAAACTGTGTTTTTTTTAATTAAGGCTGGGAGTGGTGTGCATTTACTATCTATTGGTTTAACTCTAAGAAACGGTATTATTATGATGATTTATGTTTCAACATTCTAATGTTCGGTTTTGGTGAATGATTTGGGTAATAGATAGAAATATTAAGTCTCTCCTTGAATTCAACCCTTAACAGTCTCATTGCCCTTTTTCTACAATTTGAGACTGCGTTATTTTTTTTTAATTTGACGATTTTCCTTTCCTTAGCATGAATTTACAATTGGCTCTCTCTCTCACACACACACACACACAAAATGGGTATATTTGCTTTGCTTTGTTAGTCTAAATTGTCTTTATTTTAGGGCACGCCATAAAGAAACAGAAGGCAAGGGGCATAGATACAAAGGGGTGATCTTTCATACATTCAAGCTAATTCAAGGCTAATGTGGCATTTTTACACTAGAATAAAGGCAGTCCAGTCAATACATGAATATTCCGTAAGTTAATGCGAGGTGCTTGTTGATTACACATTCCAAACTTTAAGGTTGTTGATATTAGAGACATTTTTAACCCTCGTGTGTAATTAAGTCTAATTTCAGATGGTTGCGTGTAATTAACTCTTTCAAGGATCCATTTACGTCTCTCTGGAATGGCTGGAATGACATTAAATTGTCTCTCATTAGAATGGACAATAGTGTCTGCTGAATATATAGTATGAGTAGCCATTTTTTTCTCTACTCTCACTTGTCTGAATTAACATGGGTACAGTTCTAATCAATTTTTATATTTTGAATTTCTCATTTTTTCTTCGCACTATTTCATATCAATTAGAGGGTAAAAAAGGAGAAAAATGACAATGATTCGGCCATTGTTTATGGTTGAAAGAGTCATGTATCTAATCACCACTCAAGCCACAAAGTTAAAAACATCTAGTAAGTTCTATCACTTGCAGAACAAGTGCTCCAACCAAATAACCCTCCCTTTCTATGAGAGAACTGAAATTAAAAGAAGTCTTTCTCAAATCAGTGTTTTTGCTGTAAGACTATTCTGTAAGAGTATTTTGGAAAAAAATCGGAAGCACGTTTGGAAACGATGTTTTGCTGTGAAAATGTCGAAAACAAAAATAAGAAAAAACAACTTTTATGGTTTTGGCCCATGAACAATTATCAAAACAAGAAAAAACAATTTTTTGGTGTTTTGGTTTTGAGCCACTGTTTTAGCACTGTGTAAAACAAAATAAGGCAGCACCAAACATGCTTTCGTTGCCAAAATCAACGATGGAGCAGCCCAAAACAAAAACAGCAGAAACAAAACGCATGCCAAACGGGGCCTTACAATGTAAATGTGCATTTAATCAAGCCAAGCCAGGACCACGGAACTGTCCATTCTTCAATCTAATCACAAGATAGAGAATTACATGACCTATTGATCACAAAATGAGTAGTAGCAAATAACACAATAGTATCCTACAATGTTCATCAAGTTTTGTTCAACTAGTAAGGAACTGGAAGAGCACTCTGGAAGTGCTCAAGTGTAGGTACAGAACTTGTATGCGACTTACAATCCGTCGCAACCAATTGATCAGACTCCACTCTGCAATTCTCTTCGATGGAGATTTTGTTGATAAGATGGAGTAAGGTCCTCTGGAACTCCGCTCCGTCGCACCATTCCTGAACCTCTGCCTTCACAAGCTCTGGTTTGCTTCTAATGATCTCCCACAGTGGGAAGTTCTTCCTTGGCATCAGATAATCTTTTTCTTCAAGCTTCAAACCCGCGCAAAAATCAGCACCTCCATCTCCGAGATAGATGAAACGTTTCGTCCCTCTAGCAGGTAGCGAAGATCGAATCTTCTCCATCACCAGACCCTGTGACAGAAGTACCATTTTTCAGCCAAGCAACTATAGCAACTCTCATTTACCGAAAAATCGAAAATAAAAATAAGAACACAATAGCGACTCTTACTGCACACATGCGTATATCTCCATAATCCTTATTAGTTCACTTTTTTACCAGATTAAGCAACCATTCACTTCTTCAAATTTGACAATATAATTATTTTTCTTCCAATATTCAAGATTCAAACATTGTGAATTCAAAACCTAAGATACACCCCAATCAACTCAGTCCCTTCACCAACAGAGCCAATTTAGTTGCTGCAATGGCTTATTGAGTCGTTTGCATTTGACATGAAAACATAGACACCTATGTTAGTAAATATTGCCTTGGGTAAAACTATTCTATACCATTTCCTGCATTCTCTTTGAATAATTAATGATCTAGAATTGATTGAATTACTGAAAGATTAATGATTGGAAGTATGATGGTCGGACAATTATGACGTCAAGGTCATCATCATGTTACGAATATTAATGACATCACACCTACTCACATAAATCAGTCGGAGTTTGTTCGACTTTTTGATTCTAAATCATTATCAATCTTTAACTTGTTTTGTTTAGTAAAAGCTGATGTCATCATGACGTCAGGAATATTAATGACATCATATATACTTATATAAATCTAGTTGGAGTTATTTGACTTTTGGACTTCAAATCACTATCTTAAAGTAATTTAAGAACAGGTGTTTTTATCTATTGAGTAATTAAAATTGGTTTAGCAATTAAAGGAGTAACCTTGCACATGTTTGGAGGGCAGATTTTGCAACCGTGACAAGATGCCTTGAAGTCGTAATATGGAAAGATCCTGAGGCGGCCGCCTTCATCAACCAAGCTTGGATTTGTGTTGATCTCTGAGAAGCAATCCAGCAGCCCATGATGTTCCAAAATTGTCTCAATAAAGAACACATTTGCATCACTTAGTATCCTCAAATCACACCTGCGTTCGATGCATCAATTTTAGGAAAAATTATAAAATAGTGACCATAAATTTTCAAAAAAATTGATAATTACCAAATTCAAAAGTTACATGCTCAACAGTGGCCTATTAAGGACAATTTTTTCAAAATACTTGTTGTTTTACCAAAAAAAAAAAAAAAAAAGGTTTTATAGTGACCATAAATATGCAAATAAAAAATCATGTGGAGGACACATACGTAAATTAACACACATAAATGTGATGGTTTAGAAAATTACCCAAAAGAATGGGCTGATTTAATTGCAGAAACAATGTTGGAAGGCAATGGCACCTTCCTCAAACACTCTGCGATCTCCTCAATTGTTTTCCCTTTAGAGTGAAGCTCCATCATCATCCTGTCCTGATAATATCACATACATAATGACATCAAAATTTTTAAATTAAGTGCGAAATTCAATTCAACTCTAACAATAAAATACTCTTCTTTAATTTTTCTATTTATGTAATATATAAATAAATCTATTCCCATTTTTTCAACCCCAGATTCTGTACCCAATTATTTGGGATAGGTTTTTTAAATTATCATGTTCTCAATTATGCACACATATATATAAATATACTGAAGTTGTGGTTCAAATTTTGTTTTTACCTATTCTTTTCTTGAGACGGATTGTAGATTCTAAAAAAAAAAAATTGAAAGGTGTAATGTAGAAAGTGATCTAATCGTTCATTTTTGGCATGTGTAATAATAACAAGAACGGACTATTTAGATGTGTTTGTTGTGATGCAACAGGAACAAACAAGTTTTTCTCAAAGGTGGGAGAGTTTCAAAGAATTTTTTTTCTATTTAAGGTTGGAACTTATAACTTGTAATCTCTTATTTTTTAATGCGTAACAAATGTATATATTTAGAATTCGTACCATACATATATATATATATATGTCAATGAAAAAATAAAGATTTTGTGAAAACTAACCATGAGAGAGTTGAAAGGCACGGTAGGGAGAAGTTGTTTGAATGACTGACTAAGACCCAATTCGTCCACGATCCAATTATCGCTATCGCAGTCAATGATCGTCTTGTCAAAGTCAAAAACCACCACAATTCCCGCCATTGATCACTTCTCCGGCCACCACACACCACCGCTTGATATATATATACAGAGTGTGTCACTTACATCTGGACTAGCACTATAAATAGGGTTAGATGGGTGTAGGTATTTACGTAGTGTGATTAATTGGTTTCTTTTATAATTCAAAAATGAAGAGACGTAACATATGTTGCCACTACGTGATCGTGTGTTACTTTGTGTTTCCAGTTTCCCACTCACTTTATAACCTGAAATTAAAGATTAGGTTACTGATGAAACTTTGAACTAACACGTGTCACTTTCAAAGGTGGGTGACCTCTGTACGTGAAAACTTTTAAAGAAATCACAACCGTCTGATATCACGGGGTGATCTGTTGCCCACCACCCCTTTGTTTTGAAAGCTTACATCACTCAATTCATTTATGATTGGGAGAGTATACCTACAGCCAATTTAAATTAGAAAAACCCTAGTTCGTGGTGGGTGCCACCTCATCTCAGTGTTCCATTAGGAAACAAAATGCTTCAACAAGAAGCACCACTAGCTTTGAGTAGACCAGTGAAAGGATCTGATCAGACTTCGTTCCATTCGAATTCGATAACACTGTTTATTGATTTGATTCAATAATATGATAGATCTGATTTATTATTAATGGCTATTGATAATCTGATTTGTTAAGAGTGTAATTTTTTAAATAAATAAATAAATAATGTTAAAAGTGAAAGGTGAAAGAGGGGTGAAACCCGAGAATATGGAAGAAAAAAAGAGAAAAAATTAGATATCCACTCTTTGTTTAAGAAAAAGTTATTAAGTTTAAGAAAAAAAGGGAAAGGGAAAGGAAAAAAGAAAATAATTATACATCATCTTGATAATATATAAATACTAAGATAATATGTGTTTTAAATATTATATAATATATTAATTAGATCCAAATATTATCGAATCGACTATAATCTATATCCTCCGATTTGTTTAGTTAACTGGTTGTCGGATTAGACCTTCAATTTATATCCAAGTTATCAGTTTGGATTTAGATCCAAATCCAATGCATTGACAAATCCAACTATGAGTAGTTGTCGTGTGACCTACACGTCTCATTACTTGGGGACAATTTGATAACACTTATATATGAGGACATCCCAGAACTGTGTAGATATTGTTTTGAGAAATAATCGTAAGAAAGTAGAATGTACAAAGCAGACAATATTTATACAAGGTATGGCGAGTCATGACAAATGATATCGAGTCAATGTGCAAAGTAAACAATATTTACATAAAGTACACCATAAGTATTGAGCCAATCTCCAGCCAAAAATGAGAGAGCATATATACGCAAGCTTATAAGGGTTCGTCAAGCGGGTCCCAGAGAGGGTGATTAATGTCCCATATTTGATGACATTTATATGTGTAGACATTCTGTACACAATATCTACAAAGAGTGGGGCAGGTCATGACAAGTCGAATAGATGTTACGTAGTATTTGTAAACTAATCTTTTTATTTATAATTTTTTTTTTTTTGAAATTTTAGGTGCCTAAACATTCAGTAATAAAATAAAATCAATATCATTTACAATTTTTACATATTTTCAACGGCACTTGTTATATACAAATTGTACTATCAAACTCTTAATTTAATAATTACTTAATCTATTAGAATTGATTGTTATATTGAGTTATCAAATTATAGTTTACTTTCTAAATTTTACAGTGGCACAATGTTGTTTGATACTCCTTATTTCATCCCGAATGAATTAATTGCTTATCTTACGTCAGATGAGGTCAGCCATGGGAATGGCTTATCTATTAGTAAAATAAAAAATAAAAAAAATTATATTCAAAATCTTGTGTTTTTAATATATATGATAATAGGTATTTGCATTGCACATTTATGATAACTCGAAAGTATAAATTGTTAATGTGGACACTTTTCTCTTATGTTAGCGGGGGACAAAAGTCAAATTTTAGTGCATAATTGGTCACAATATTGGATGGAGACTCCAATAACACTTCTTTACAATTGTTTTTTTTTTTTTTTTTTTTTGTTCTTTTATTTTTTTAATTTGGGTTAGTTCCTTTGTCACCCAATATAGTTTGTATAATGGTTGGTAACTTAGTGCAGTTGAATGGTGTCTTGCAGTCATGCACCATGCCGCTTTTGTTTATTTCTCAAATAGTCATTTCGATATCTTATTATTTATGAGCCAATAAATGAAAAATATGAATTTAGGGCAATTGGAACTAGGTCCAAAATTTTCCTTTCTTTTGATTTTTTTTTTTTTTTTTCTTTTTTCTCCCTTTTTATCTCTAATAAACAAGAAATAAATTCACGGTTTTGGAAATTTCTAAAGATCCACATATAAAAAAAATAATAATAATAATAATAAAATATATATATACACATAATAGTACTAATATTTGGTTTTTCAGGGAGTGTGCACACGGTTCCTCCGTCCCCGTCTGTTATCCAAGCCATTGTGTTTGATATTCAATCACGTTTAGAGTTTTTGCTCATTTTGATATTATTATGTTCGTCGACATGGTAATGGGATAGCCTGTGTCAAAATTCTTCAAAAGCCATGTTAGGTGTGATATCGAGCTTGTGCATATTCCAATTCATATCCGTCGGCTCGCAGCTAAAGATGTTGACCAATTCTAAACACTATTTCTAGAGAACTAGAGAGAGTTGATGGGGATTCGAATATGCGTCACTGCACCAGAGAGGAGTACTTGACCATTGTGTCAAGTCTCGTTTTTAGATTATTCACATAAATCTAATGAAATTTAGATTTAAACAAAGATGTAATATTTGAGTTAAAAAAAAAAAAATTATCAGCCATAAATTCAGAATTTCGGGACAAAGTTGAGCTTTGATGGGAATCCAATAGAAAAAGGACTAGTTTTAGTAATTTTGTATATATTTAACTAGAAAATTGGTTGAATTTTGGAGACATAATATTAAACTCAGACAAAACTTATAAATATTGGTTTAAATATTTAAAAATACAGTGTGGAAACAAAAGATTAACAGTAGGCATGGACCTACATATATATTTATTTATTAATATACCCTTACTAATTTTTTTATTTTTTAATTATTCCCCCTCCCCAAAATTACTAAAAAAACTATTATTACCCTCAGCTCACATAATTTTCTGGTCTGTTCCTGCTAGGTTATATGTCACATTTCATATGGAGAAATAGGCAAAATTGATTTCTTATAATTCTTAAAATAAAAAATATGATCTCCATATTGAAGCATAAACGAAAAATTCTGGATAAAAAAAATGATTGGATTTGGTCAGTCTAGCATTTGTATTACATATGCTTCAGCCAATCATGTTTGCCCGTTTGTAAATACACCTACAATCTTTTATTTTTTATTTTTTACCAAATGTTTTTTTTTAAGTTTCGACATCGAGATCGAAGTGGAATAATTATATAGTATATTCATGTCTCCCATAGAAACCATTTTGGGATGATATAACATCACAAATGAAATCACTTAAATTTTAGCACATATCAGGTAAAAATCACTTAAATGACACGTTCAATTTATAAGATTATTGAGATTTTTTCTTAATATATTAATAAATTTTTGTGAGTTATTTTTTTAATCGAATAATCTTGAATTGAATTGATCCACCAAATATAAATTATTTAATAATTTTTCCACATGCTGAGATATCAAATCTATAACCTTGAGAAGGAAATTTTGGCAAATAGGCAGGTAAAAGTCCACTGCTCGCCCTGAACATTTATTCGGCCCTTAAACTTTTGAATCAGACCAAGAAAATATATTTCTTACTCTTATACCCAAAAAAAAATATCGTAGTATTCATTTTTGTAAACATATCTAATAAAAATGATAAATCATTCTAAAGAATTTCAGAAGAGAGAATATTTCAGAAAAATCTTAGCATAATCTAGAAAATCTAAGGAGGTGAGAGTTCTCTATAAATATGCAACAAGTTGTTCTTAGCAAAGGTAGAACATCTAATCCCTAAAATGCTTTCGCCTCCTTCCATTTCTCTATCTACCTATATTCTTAATCTCCACCTTACCTCATCAATTCTTAAGTTTTAATTTTTGTTCGGATACTCTCCCAGTAAACACTTCATTACAGTTGGTCATAATATGTAATTTTCAATTTCTAAATTCACCCTCTAAACCAATCTCCCAATGGTCGAATCCTAAACCACTAAAATCATTTGTATTATTTTACACGGTTAAAGGAATTTCTAAACCGTTTAAACAATTATTTTTTACATTAAACAAATGCATTACAATTATTTTTCAACTATTTTTCACCAGCACTTCATAGGACCGAGGTGCGGCTTTTATGTTACAATTATTAATAAGAAAACACAAACTAGGCTTGCTCAAAAGAAGCCCAAAAACGAGAGAGAGGAGGGATAAGCCCACCAAGAAGTTGGGCCAAGAAAACAAAAGGAAAATTACAAGCCCAGGCCCGATGACTAATCAGGTGTTGGTGTTCTAGATGATAAATCTCCAATAATTAGTTCCAATTGCAAGAAGAAAAGACAAGCAAGTTCCTCCAAGTACCCAATTTCCCCACCCTCCAATCAAAATGTATCACCCAAGAAAAAAGTATATATATATATATATATTTCATAGTATGTAATTTTACTTAGATTTCTGATGAATTTAAATAGAACATTCACGCTCAATACAAATAATTAACAGATTTAATTCTTGACCATTTAGAGAGAGCAATATGTACAGTTCTAAACATGTTTTGTACTTGCACTATTTTTCTATTGAATGATCAAGAACTGCTTGAGCCCATTTGCAATATATCTACCTTTTTCCCAGTATTCATTTTAAATCTTCGATTGTCAATGTTTATGTGGCTCCTAAGGTTGCAGTTGGTTTCCTCATCGTTCCAGCGACCTTTTCTCTTGTTCATCTCTGAGTACATTTCCTCTATCATTGGTTTCCAGAGACGAACTCGCGCATTTATAAACCAATTTGACACCTAAAATCACAAACCCATGCAAGTAAATGAGATTTGATTAAAGAAGCCACTAAAAACCACTTTGTTGATGCTAAAATTCAAATCTTAGGGAGCGTCAACCAAAAATGAAAATCATTCACTGGTATTTGTATGGGTTTTAAAGTAAATCAAAAAAATGTGTATGCTGGATCGTTTCTTTGGATAGTAACACTGTAGTACAAGGTTCTTTCCTCATTATAAAATAAAACTTTTGACCAAAAACCAAAAAAAATTGTTTCAAAGAATAGAAAACATAAAAAACAAAATTCTAAGCAATATTATGGAAAGCAATTACTTATTATTTTTAATGCCACAAACACAATCCAGAGTATTGAGTGTTGTATATAGAGTACCTGGCTCCTAGTCAATCCACTCTTCACTGCAAGTAGATGCTTCTCCGCATCTTTCGGATATCTACAATCCAGAAAAGAAATGATTCAAAAATCCTATGTTTTAGTAATAAATAGCTAGGTGATGAAGAAAAGAAATGATTCAAAAAATCCTATGTTTTAGTAATAAATAGCTAGGTGATGAAGAAGATATTCAAGCAGCCCATGAACTTCCATGGTCTTCTACTCATATCGTGATATGTGCCATGAAAACCCAAGGCAGGCCTTCAATTTCACATATCATGAACCGAAAAGAAGACCATGGAAATCTGTGGACCACAAAGCTTTGTTGAGATAATGAAGAAAGAACTACATTGGCATAAAGAGTGAGCTATCATATGAGATTTGAGTATCTGTCAAGTTCATTACAGAGAGCTCATAGGTTTCACCATAAATATATCAATGATCATAGGATATGTAAAGAATTTAATAATCTAGGAAGCCAAATTTGAATAAGAAAAATGAAAAGAAAAGAAAAGAAAGGAAAGACAGATCATTTAAACAAAAATAAAAGCCATTGTGAATGTCAGAAAAAAGAACAAAGAAATGCTCTTTCAGTCTAGAATTGTTTTGGATTGCTCACTTACATTGCAAAATCAATTTAATTCAACTGTTATACTAGTTATCGAATCTCTATTGCATAAATGGTTACTCACGGGTGAAGAAAGTTCTGAAACATCCATGCCCGTAAAACCGAGACAGATTTTTCTGGCAAGCCTCTCTGTGGTCTCCATAGCTGATGATCTTTCACTCGAAGCTGCTGCAAAGCCCATTGCTTCTGGATGAAAGATGTCTCAAATGACCTCTCCTCTTCTCTCATGCCTCCCTTGCTATAATGTGCTCCCATAGAGAGGATTTGGTTACTAATTCTCTCCCTCAGGTTTTTATATAAGAAAGAAATTGTTCGTAGAGCAAAACGAGCATGTGTGTGAGGATCCAATTCAGTCGCAGCATGGAATGCAGATACTACAGTATGGATCTCATCCAAGCATTGATTGTATCGATCATCAACCTGAATTATAGAAACATGATTTAAAATTTGGTTCAGTAATGGAATACAATGGTAAAATACTCCCTTCCCCAGATGGATGAACAAGATTGAGAGAAAATAAATATGATGGTGCTAAGTTAAGTAATCCAATCGAAATTGTATACTAGAGCCTGGTTAGCAAAAACACCCACCCTGGTTTTAGCCAAAAAAGCAAAGAACTTAAAGTTTGAACTAAAATTTTAAGTTTGTAATCAAATATCTAAAAATTGCTATGCTTTAAAAATTAAACCAATGTAAGCCTTCCAACTTTTTGCCACTTTCAGGATTCTTATATAAGAACATACAAAAATTTAACCAAAATTTAAACACTTCAAATTTCTAGTTTAAGGAAGAAAAAGACTGGGATCAAATGTAAAATTTAGAACTCTAAAATTTTTTAGTGTCCTACTTTATACCAACATACCACTTGTAGTAGAGCCAACAACTGTTTTTTCTTTGCTTCAACTTCCCGTCCTCGTAACACGGGGTCCATTTGAAGCTCAAATCTACCATCCCCATCAGGAAAATCGTCAGGACCCATCACTGAGTAGCCTCTCTCAGCATGACAACTTGAAGGGAATGAGAATTCAGCCCTAGCCCCCGTTCCATTGGCTGGATAGTTGATTTGGTCTACATTTTCAAGTGAATAGCTAGCAATTTCAGCAAGAATTTCTTGAATTACTTGAAGATATCTAGACCCAGATAACAATTGTGAAAGTTGAACTGGTCTATAAGAACCAAAACTCATAGAAAGGTTCTTGCTATTGCAAGAATTTTGTTCAGAGCCCAACTGCCTTTCACACAAAGAAGGGCGAGTAACACCAGAACAGCTTATTTCCGAACTTTGGTCCGGGATAGTTGTCCCACAGATAACAGAAGGCTGGCATGTGGCTAGACTTAGAGAAAGCTCATTACGACTATCAGAGGTCACATTGGCATTTGACGACATCCAACCATTTGGATCCATGTTTCCCATAAACTGGAACGGTTGTAACTCTGGTCTTCCAGGGACCTTCCCAGCAGGCTCCAGAGGAGCAAGAAACTTTTCAAATCCCCATTTGCTGTTCATATCACCAAGCATTCCGTCATACCCACTGTTCAAGGAGGCCACAAAAGAAGAATTTAATGCATCAGAGTAGTCATTTGAAACAAAAGCTTTTAAAGCTTCCACAGGACATGCTAAAGGTGCAGAAGTTGGTAGATAATTCATATTATCATGAGAACTGCACCTTGCAGCCAAAAGAGTAGCAAGTGACACAGCAGAAATGGGCGTTCCATCCACAAATGGCTCCTGGACCTCAGAGTTACCAATTGGACGATAACTCCCAACTGAAGGGTCCCTAGTGACATTTCTTCCGAATGGTACATTCCTAGGAATCAGTGCATCACAATCGACAATACCAAAACGATTTGCCATGTGAGGTTCAGCCTGCAGTTCATTAATGGGTTCACCTTGCAGCACTGAAGGTATGGGAAAACAAGCCATCATCTGGTTTTGGTGGTTTAGATCAAGTGAACTGGAGTGAGCGGCAGAAATTGAGGTCATATGTGATGAAAATCCATCCATAATCATAGGGCTCTGGCCAACCATATCTATTCCCATATTGAATGCGTTATTCTCTGTCATATTATGGGGCACCAAAGAAATGAAATTCATTACATATAAATAGCTTCTCTAAATCATTCAGACAGTTTTATGTATCAATCTGAATGTCCGGCCAGTTTTGTTCCAAAAGTAGCTTTCTGAGAGGTCTTCTCTCAAATGATCAGAAGGGGAGTAAAATTAGCTCACTTACATGCCAGAGAACATATTATGTTGCATTCTTATCGATTCATATCCACACTTTGAAAAGCTGCAGCAAGTGAATTACCTAAGAAAAAATCAAAGAGAGGAAATCTACAATCAATTGGTATACATAATATATAAAAAATTTGAAAATAGAAGTCTCTGTTAGTGGTCAGGGAAGTAGTACAATATTTGTCCAACCATAATGAGATGAAAATTGTCTTTTATCGGAGCAATCATAAGAAAAATGAAATCAGTCCCGACTGAATTATACTCCCTTCATGCATGATATGTTAAGAGTACTTTTAAAATTAATGAAAAAACTTATCTTCGAAATAAAAGTTATTAGTAATAAGCCACAACAACCAGGTTGAGGAGTCTGTATCAGGATAATAGATTCATTCAATTTATCTAAACCTCACTAACAAAAATGAAGCTAGCCAAACAAAAAAAAGGTAAAAGATTTCATCCCTCACCGTGAGCATGGCCCCTCATCATGATAGAATTACTCCTAAAACCCTAAGGGTGAAAACTATGCTTGACAAAATAATCCAGTTACAACTATGTAAGAACAGATAAATTGCCAATTTCTCACTTTCTCCTGTATCAATAGATTGAGCAACAACCAAAGGACACGTGTAAATTGCATAAAACTAAAGAGCGTAAGTTCACAATTGGCAAGCACGGCGAACTAGATGCAGAAATGGGCAGTGCTATAATGCTGTAGAATGCCTAAATACACGAGGTTAGGCATCAAAACAGAATCTCCCATGACCAAGCACAAGAGTGAAGCGACATCCCAAGGTTCACCCATTAACTATTACAACATTTGTAACAAGGAAACTCCTATTTATCTTGTCACTTGACACCACATTTGTGTCATGGGACACCTCCATCAATGTCCATATCTATGTTATTGTCTGATTTTCTCACAGGTTCTGTTACATGTTTTGCAACCATGATTGCCACCGTCAACCTTTAAATTTTCCAAGTTAGAGGTATATATACCTAAAGCTACAAGGGCTGGGATGAATGGGTGTCTGGTTCAGAAAAGCAAAAATGATGCGTCAACAACAACATGGAGGACAAGGATCCTCTCTTATTCTTTTAAATTTGAGTAGATGACATGGCCCTATACGTGTTGTCCGACTAACGCTTAGAGAGAAAAAGCTCAAGAGGATCCCAAGTCAATTTCAAGGTTCATGGTCATGGAAACCACTAATTGAATTTGGACTTCCATTGCCTTCAATCATCTCTTTCAAACTAAAGGATGTGAGCAAATGGAATCCAAATTGGTACTTAAGCATGGCTTGAGCTACAAAGAAGTGATGCTAATCAAGAAGTGCAAATTGGCACCAAGAAAAGCTTAGAAAGACCAAAACCTCATACTAAGTACACAGATAGAAGTCCACAAAGTCTTGGAATATGGGATGAGCATAGTTTGAAAGAAATCAAAGACATTAACACCATCAATTCAGAAACTCAATAGATAAATTCAGCATAACAGCTCAAATTGAAATAGTGAATTCAGATGTAATAATAGAAAATATAAAGAGAAATGGTGAAATTAGAGAAGAGCAAAAGGAGAACATGCCTAAGTAACCAACCTTGCAACCTTATGCAGAGAAGACATCACCAGCCACCAACAAAACAACCCCAGAAAATGCAACCTCATCCACCAATTAAACCATGTCAAAAGAGCATAACAGGGACAACAATTTTGAAGCAGATTGATTGAATTTCCTACTCAGCACTCAGAAATCTCCCAATATTCAAAAGACAGTGCTCTGTTTCTATACTGATTGACACTATATGCAGGTTCCCTCAGAGAACCTACAACAAGCAAATGATGGGCAAAGTTTACAATATATCATTGGTTTCCCTTTCTGCCAAATAGTATATAAATCAAAAGCCAGAAAACAGTGATAAAAGGAAGTTGATTCTTCTTTCACAAAAAGAACCTAAGGTAAAAATAAAATAAAGAAGCTACAAGCCTATATGGAGTCATGCACTAACCCCACCTATCTCAAAACCATAAAAATTGAAATAAAAAGCCAACACAAAAGTGGGCTATTTTCTTTGCATGAAGATAAAAGTGGGATTTTCTTCAAGAAAACAAAACCCAAGAAACTGAAATTCAGAGGGGGTCCGACCCCATCAAGAATCATGACCTCTCTTCCCTATATCATCATCAAAGAGTCTCTCTCTCTCTCTAACTGATTCAATTTCTCATTCACAAGATTTTAACCCTCAAAACACAAATGGGTCCTGAAAGTAAAGGACACCCATCACAGAGAACCCCATTAAAAGCAAGGAAGAGAGTGTCAGGAGGGCAAGAAAAGGACCTTTGCAGAGGAGTGTAGAGGGATGAATGGAATGGACCCATTAAATTAAAGATAGAGACAGAGAAGAAGAGCCACACGAGAGTAAAAACAAGGATAGTTGGATAGATATAGATATATGTAGATATATAGAGATAGAGAGAGAAACATTACCCCTTTGGTGGTGCAGTGCCACTCATTTCTGTTGCAGGCTTTAGAGGGCCCATCCCTCCTCTCCCGCTCTCTCTCTCTCATCTCTGAGGGACTCCTGATCTCCTTTGTCCTCCTCTTCACTACCTTTCACTCTCTGCTTCTCTGCAATCATCACAATCAAAATATCTGGATTCTCTCTGTTCAAACTGCTGTTCATGGCAGGTGAAAAAAGCTCCATCTTTCAGAGAGGAAAAGGCCTTTATTTTCAATCTATTTCAAGGCACCAAAGCTAATGTGATGAGAAAGGTGAGTAAAGAGAGTAACAGAGTCATATACTTTTGTTCCTGAAATCTTACAACTAAGGGGTTAAGGCAAATGTGATGTGAGAGAAGAGAGCGGAACTGTTACACCAGCAGTGTACTTTTTCGTTTTAGACAAGAGAGAGAGAGAGAGAGAGAGAGAGTGTAATTTTTAGAGAGAGAGAGAGAGAGGGGCAAATGATGATGCAAGCAGCCTGAAGGAGTTGGAGAGAATCTGGTGGAGAGATCTTTGACGAATTTATTGTTGCAATTACAAAGGCTATCCATCTATCTATCTACTACTACCCGTTTTGGCTTTTGTACGGTGAAGAGTGTTGTTTTAGATCTTGAAAGGGAAATCAAGGAGCTCTGATTCTCTGCTCCAACGTGTGAACAATCATAATCGTATCATTTTTTCGTAACATAATACAATGATGTTGCGACAAATGATACATTCTCCTCGAATATATGCCATTATAAGAGCATTGCAATGGCTATGTATTGTGACCGATCACACATGTAATAGTTCATATATGTGATCATTTTATATGTGCGAGAGATCAGCGTCGTCCCTCTTATGAAAAAGAGGGGGCTGTAGCTGAGGAGATCCTCATTCACAGACCACTTGAATTGGCTTTTGTAAAGTGTTGTTTTAGATCTTGAAAGGGAAAGGAATAGACCAATCAGGGAGCTCGAATCCTCCGTTGCAACTGTTAGTGTTACACACGTGTGAACAATAATAGTCATTTTTATTACGTCAAAGAATCCCCTCTCCTTGAATATTTGCCATTATAGGAGCATTGTAACGGACGTATGATTACTTTTCCCAACTGTGAGGTGCTGTGATCGGTCTCCTCAAATATTTGCCAGGAGCATTATAATGGCAGTGTATTACAATATGAGGTGATTGTGATTCTTCATCCGTATGATTATTTTTTCCAATTGTGAAATGTTGTAATCATATAATTATTTACATTTACACGTGTGAGAGGTCATAATTGTCCCGTTACAGAGAACCCGTGCAGTAACTGAGGAGATCCCCGTTCATAGACCACTTAGAATTGGCTAATGGCTATTAGGGAGCTCCATGAATGATGAAATGGTGATGTCAAGTAGATAGATAGTCATGATTTGCTCTGAGATCCTCAAATTTGTGGATCAATTTAGGGTTGAGACCCTGTTCAGGTAATCATTAAGGGACTCTAAGAAAGGTATCTCTCTCGTAGGGGTCAAATCTTTATGAAGTCTAGTTTCAGAATTTAACAAGACTTCTGCAACAGATCATGCCTCTCTCATCGCTGGTGGGTTTACCATGAGTTCTCTCATTTACTCGGTGGATTGTGCGGTTATTTGACTAACAGTCAATTCACTTGCCAGATAAAAGATCTCTCGTGATTTAAAAGTGTTCCTTTCTCAAAATGTGTGGTCCTCGTGTGGTACTCCCTATGAGCTAAATGTTTCAATTTTTTTCAAAAGCACTGTAAAAAATATATATGTATCTATATATATATATTTGTATTGGGTCAAGCCTTTCCGTAAATAATAGTCACGCATATTGCATTCCTCTTTTATGCAAAAAAATAATAATAATAATAATAATAAATAAAATAATATTCTTAAAATTTCAATTTAATGCAATAAATTTCACAAATTTAAATTCTAAATTAATTAAATTATTCAACTATTTTATAAAATATATAAAAATAAATAATTTTATAAAATAATCATAAAAGACGCTCTTGGAGGATGTCCCTCTCATGCAAAAAAACAATCTTAAAGTTTCAATCTAAATATAAATAAGTCCTTCTGACAAATTTAAATATTAAATTTACTAAATTACCCTTACTGAACTATTTTATAAAATATATAAAAATAAAAAATGACATTATTAGAAGACGCCGGTAATGAACAAATAAAGATAAAAATATAAAATAAAAATAAAAGTATAAAAGAAGAGTAAAAATAAAAATAGAAAATAATAAACAAAAATAAAGTGCAAACTAAAGAAAATAAAATTTTTCTAAACTCCGAAAATCAGTGCACACTACTATTGGGATTTTTTTTTTTTTTTTTTTTAACATTGTTGGTATGAAAAAAAGATAAAATAAAGGAAAAAAAAAAAATTAGTAGAAAAGGAGTAAATTGGAATATCAAAAAGTTCAAATCAATTCTACAAATTCTTAAAGTTAAAAAAAAATATATGTTTAGCGATATATATAAGGGAAAAAGTTTCCAAAAAAAAAAAAAAAGTAATGTACACATTGAACTCTTATATAGGGATGTCAATTTTTATCGCCCCGCCGGGGCCCCGCCCCGTTTCGCCCCGTTAATAACGGATATGGGAACACTTATTATACCGTTGGGGCAGACATGGATACAAATTTTATACCCGTCGAGGGTCACGGGGCGGGTAAGGGTTCAATATACATATCTTAGGGGCCTCGCCCCGCCCCGCCCCGCATATAACCATATTTAATATATATATATATTAATAAGTTATTTTAGCGGCTTACCCAACCCATCTCTTACAATCCTAATTTGGGATGTAAACTTGGTATTAAATTTGCTTTTGTTTTGGTTATGGTGAAAGTTGGAGCTTAGAACTTCTTGTGATTTGGTTGTATTAAATTTTTATTTTTGTTTATTATATTCTTTGAATTATGTTATGTGCATGTTATTTTTTTTATTTTTGTTAGAATACATAATTTTATTTATGTTGTGTCATTCCTAGGCTTTGCACATTTAAATAGCAGGAGTTTAAGTTCCAAAAAGTGGGAGAAAAAAATTTGTTAGTGGGGCGGGCACGGGGGCACAGTATTTCCTAACGGGGCGGGGTTGGATATGAAAATTCAACCCGTCGCGGGTCTCGGGGCGGGCATGGACTTGACAAAAATTAAAAGGGGCGGGGCGGGATTTAGGGAAACCCGCTCCAAACCCGCCCTGTTGCCATCCCTACTCTTATACTATGAGATTAGTAGCATATATATCCACTTTGACATTTTTGGAAGAATAAAAAGGTAAAATTAATATTGCAGCACTAATTTATGTCAAATGAGATATTTTTGCATAATGTCAAAAAATTAAAGGTATTTTTTACACATTTTTTCAATTAATGAATAAAAATATTAAGCAAAATATATTTTAAAAGTATTTTCTGCACCAGTCTCATTTATATTTGATGCATGCATTAATGTTTCATAAAACTTGGAACAATTATGTACAAGGGTAAAATACAGGTGTGTTTTTTTTTTTTACTTCATCATAAATAATTAGATAATTTGTGCGATTATTCCATAGGACCAAGTATTCACTCTTAAGATGTGTGTTAGGTAAGTTCTGAAAATCAAAATAATCCTAAAGAGAATCAAATGGAAACAAGTCCACCAATGATTGTTGGAGTTTTGTGGGAAAAATATTTTAAAGCTTTAGAATTTCAATGACATGTTATAATCCATTGAGGAATGCTTTTGTGTTTTGAGTTGGGTGCTGTAGTATTGTTTTGGTCAAATAATGATTTGTTTTGTAGAATATCGAAACATTTTGATAAATAATGGCCTAAAATCAATTTGATAATATGTCCTAAATATTAATACTTAGGTACGTTTGGAAATTTCTTTTATAAAATCAAAACATCAATTTGATATTTTTATATATTTTCGCACTTTAGCAGTAACAACAAATATACAAAACGTTTTTGATGACCAAATAGGCCCTAAATATTAACACCTAGGGCATGTTTGCAAATCGCTTTTGTTCTGTATTTCCTGTTGCTAGTAATGTACTAAGCAAAGCAAAATGCCGAAGCTATTTTAATAACTTTTGTAACAATTTGAATTGTAACGGGAGCCCGTATTCGAGCCTCGCATCCTCCCCCTTCCATCTATCAACTAACCCAGAAACATACTTCACGACCAAAAAATAAAAAATATATATGATGTTTGTTTCAAAAAAAGAAAAAAGAAAAAGAAAAAAGAAAAAGAAAAAAGAGGAGACGATTTCAAATATGCCCTTGTGTAACAAGACTCATTGAAACAAATATATTTTTATTTATATGAAGGGGATATTCGCACTCCACTTATCTACAATTACACTACATTATTAAAGGAAAGGACATTTCTTTCCCTAAATTTATAAATAAATAATTTTTTTTAGAATACCACAATTATCCTTTCGGATATGATCATATAAAAAGATATTTTCGTCTCCCCCTCTCTCCCCACAATTAACATTTCTATTTTTTTCATTCAATTTAGGCATTGTAAAATTATGAAGCCACATAGATACGGACTAAATATCAATTTCACAAATAAAAAAAAATAAAAAATAAAAAAGACTTATAATAGCAACCTAAATGACAGAAAAAATAAGTTGTAGTTAATAAAATACATATGATATGTGGAAAAAATAGATGTTAAACTCATTACTATTGAATTGAAGTGGTGTATCAATATCTCTTCTATTTTCATTTTCCTCTCTTATTAGTCTCCTCCACACATGCACAATGTCTTACTATCTTTTTTGGTTAATAATTTTCATCATTTTGTCACTGAATTTAACACTAATCCATCATTCTAATAATTTTATTTGTGTAAATTCTCTTCTTGAGAAATTAAGAAGGTTGCTTGGAGTACTTTAATTAAGTTCTCATCAAGCCTAGAGAATCTCAACAAAGTCTTACTTCACCCGACCCTCACCGAAATCAAGATGAAGCAACTTAGATGGAGGACGAGGTTGAAAAACTTCAAATGTCCATCTTCAAAGAAATCTTGGAGACTCTGTTCTTACCTTTGGTTGCTAAAAACTAGGCCACTAAAGTTCAAGAATGTCCTTTGGAGATACATATATTTTTTCAATTACCACTTCATATTCTCCTCTTTCCACATAGGGCGATTTACTGAAAGCGTAAGTAATATGCTGTGGAAATTGAAAAAAATAAAAATAAAAATGGAAGTGAGGAAATAGAAGAAGAAGAAGAAATGCTTTAGACCATATCCAAGGAAATCATATCATCTCTTTTAAAAATTTAATTAAAAAGAATAAGGGAGGAAAAAAGAACTTGTGTTACCTGCAAATTGGGTAGAGAGAGAGAGAGAGAGAGAGAGAGAGAGAGGGGCTTGGATTTTTGTTGGTAATATGCTCCTTAAAAATAAAAAATAAAAAAACGTAGTCAATTAAGTATAATTTTCTTATTAAAAAAAATGCATTAAAGTAAGTAAAGAAGGTAAAAAAGAAAATTTTATAGAACAAAGGGTAGTTAAGGTATAACGAAATAAGAGATAATGTATTAATTAGTTCAGAGGTTTTTTTGTCATTTATTGTTTTTTTTTTTATAAAAAAGATACAGTGTAAATGTATAAAAGTGGAATACGAATATCACATCCTTTTATCTATTTATAGAACGGAATATATTCAACTTTTTCATTTCACCTTCTTTTTCCTTAACCTTTCCGGGTTTATTTATTTATTTATTATTATTATTATTATTTTAACTTAAAATTTGAATTTATTGTATATTAATCATTTGGAGAATTAATATTCTATATTTTTTTCAGAAATTTATATTCAGTTTTATTGTATAATCGAGCGGGTTGGACAAATTAAGGGATTAACTCAAGCCCAACCCAAGTTATAAAAGCTTCTAGATTCTTAGTCCATCAATCAAACCCACCCCCGAAGCCTAGCTTCTAGTTTCCGTTGGGTTGTTATTTCTATGCATACAAAAATTAAAACTGAATATAAATTTCTGAAAAAAATATAGAATATTAATTCTCCAAATGATTAATATACAATAAATTCAAATTTTAAGTAAAAAAAAAATTCCCGGAGAGGTTAAGGAAAAAGAAGTTGAAATGAAACAGTTGGATATAATTTTGAAATATATATAAACATATTTAAGCTTATGCTAGATAATTTAAGGTGTTTTTATTTTTAATTTTTTTTTTAATAAAGTTTAATCATGGCAAATAACTCTTTTTTTTTCAATTTTTTTTTTTTTTTTAATTTGTCAATGATGGTGGTGCCGAAGCATTTAGAACATCCCATAATTCACCATCGAAAGTATGCAATCTAGAAATGACAACGGTGTAACGTTTGGGCGGATTTAGTTAAACCCAACTCCGTTCGGTTAAAAAATTCGTCATAAAAAATCCTTCATATCAACTCTATCCCTACTCTAGGACGGAGATACCATTAGGCACATTGATAAAACTTTTTTTGGGACATATTTAGCTAAACCCCCACACTTTTGTCTCTAACAAAACTTGAATTCTCAACCTTTCATTATAAAGAGTAGGGAAGATACCTTTAGGCACTGTTGATGATATTAGATTTTATTTATTTATTTATTTAAATTTTATCCTTGAAATTTGCCACATATGCCCCTCAACGACTCAAGGTCAGAGACTTTCTGATGAACACCCCCATTTACTTAATCGGCAACTCCATTAACATCTCTAGGCCCCCAAACCAACATCACTTTAAATTACTTACCAAAAAACCAACATCACTTTAAATTACAGACCAAAAAAATGACAATCATTATTTATTTCTACCTCCAAATAACCAATTCATGACAAGAACATACATGTGATCAATCACCAAAATAAATGTAGGTGCGTGTGCGTGTGCGTGTGTGTGGCCCATTTTTTTTTTTTTTTTTTTTTTTTTTAGGGTATGTGGCCTAAGATGGTTGATAATTAAAGACATTAGAAAATAAAATTGGAAATCAAGTGGCAAAAAGTGTCAACCGTGAGTTGGAAGTATCAAATAGAAATTTACGGAACTTGATGGTCACTACTCACAAGTTCCATATGGTTTGCTCACAAGTTGATTTAACTTTGTCCTTGCCGTTGAATATGGGGTTGACATTTAAGCCACACGAAAAAGGTGTTGCACCATATGTACATTGCTCACCAACTAAACCCTATAAAAAAATTCATCCATTCATATCTATTATCTCTCTATCTATATATGTGTGTGTGTATATATATATATATATATATATATATTCACACACATACACATATATATATAGACGCTCTTCCAGTGATTGAAGCCTTAAAATTAACAAACTTTCTTTTCCTTGTAATAGGTTCAAAACAATTTGTGTTGGAGTACACGAAAACTGATATGGAAATTCATTGTTTTTATTGGTAAAGACACAGAGTATTATCATTGGAAGTTTGAGATATTCTTGCGATATTTTATGATGAAAAGTGATAATTGAACTTAATTGTATAGTTGATTTAGACTATAGAAATGTTCACAGCCCTTTGATGCTGCTAAATAGGACGTAATTACATTAGAGAGTCATGAACACTTCAGTCCTCTGAATAGACTAGTCATTTTTATATGCTAAGAACAATAATAATAATAATGATGAATAAAAAATAATATTTAAACTGATAAATTAAATTTAAACACTAAACGGAATTTATTTACCTTATATGTTTCAAGTAAGATACATATTTATTACATTTCACAAGGATAAAACTCATTTTAACTCTCAACTATATTAACCATTTAACCCATTCATCAAATAAAACAAATGGGACCCAATTGGCCCACTAGTTGCATCTATTGGATGTGATTGTTTCGTTATTATTATCATTTTTCATACATGAATTACATATTTTACTTGCTATGTTACTATGTGTTGAGAGTTCAAAATATATATCTCACACAATGCTCATGTGCAGGACTGATCAAAACAGATAAATGCTGATATTCTTAACATGCACACATATATGGATTAATTAACTTTAGCTAGTTTTCTATTGTGTTTCTCCCATGATTCGCCTTATTAGTCGATAAGCGATGTATCATTCTGTTTGTAATTTTATTTTAAGAGTTCGATATTGTTACACATCTCTATAATTAAATCAGTTCATTTCTACCGATATTATTCCGAATCCGTTACATTACAATTACAAACAATACCACGACTACAAACCATGATTTCTCCACAAACTTCATCAATATTAAATACAAAGATATAGTGCAAAAGATAAAATATATAGAATTTCATAACTTTCAACAATTGCAGAATTAAAAATATATATACACAGACACTATGAAAACAAAAGGATTTGTTAACTTGTTTGATCATTTTCTATGCGTCCATTTATTGAAAAAGAAAATGCGTAGTCTCAATGATAATATAGTCTTATAGCGCCCATAAAAATATAACTTACTATTCACCCAACAAAAACTAATTAAAAATATACAAACCAATCCCAACTTGAAGAAACCATACTAACCACTAAGAACTCAAATAAAATATGACCCACCACCACCACCACCACCACCACGGCGGCATAAATTATGCACCACCACTCTCATCCATGTTTGTCATCACTCACTGCCACCACTGCAAGCTTCTGAAGGTTCAACTTCACAACAGTGTCTGTAAACATCTTAGTGTCCTCCACAGTGTTCCCCTCAGGTATGTCAACAATATAAGACTCCAAAACAATGGTGTACACCCTCCCATCATCCTTGTTAAACTCGTTCACCGACGTGACGGACCGATAATTATTCAGCCGGTGCTCACCACCCACAACCCTAAAGCTCAATATGTGCCTCTCATCATCCAAAATCTCCAGCCTCTCGGTGCTGGTGGAGGCAGGGAGGCCGGAAACAACGGTGACCTCCCTCACACTTCCAACTCCTCCATCACCCACCATGTTGCAGCTCTTGATGAAGTGCTTGTATCGCTTCGGATTGTCGAAGGAACGGACGAGTGGCCACACCACATTGGCCGGAGCATCGATTCGTTGCGTTATGAGGGAAGTGCACGTGTTTGGCCTCGACTCGAAGGTGTGGTACGTCTGAATGATGGCCTCGAGCTCCATGAATTCTTCGGAAGTGAGACCTTGAGGGACTTGGGTACTGTTCATTGCTAGAGACAAATATGATTAATATGGTTAGCACGGTATCAATTCGCACTTGTGAGAACGATACCGAGCATGAAAAAGAGGAAGAGGAAGAGGAGGCTATGGAAGATATGTTGGCGCTTTCTTGTTGAAGAGAAGGGGGTGGTGGACGATCATATGAACACTATGGGAGGGTTTTATTTTAGCTTTGGAAATTTAGCCATCTTTTGGACAGATTTGCCCCTGGCTTTCATTTTTTATAACCAACTTGTCGGTACGATCTAGACTTGTCTTTTTCTCAAAAGAGTGATTATTACAAGATTAAGAGAGGAGATTAGTGGAAGGGATGGACCATCTTGATTCTTGTAGCTAAATTTAGAAAGGGTGTGTCTGCATTATAAATTATATAATCATTGTGTTTAGTTGATTTTTATGTCCCCAAGATTATCTTATAAATGTAAATTGAGGGATGCTAGGTGGGGCTTGAGAATGATGGCATGCATGTGGAATTCAAATTAATCAAGCATTTCATACTACTTGTCACTTGATAAACTCATTTTGCTCGTGTGAGTATCATGATTACTTTGATACCTAAAAAAAAAAAAACATGGTTAATTTTCCGTCGGCTCTCGTCCAATGGAATAATTAAGTTTTCCCACTGGAAAGGAGAAATTAGTGTCCGAGCTCAATGAAAATAAAATATAGTGTGTGTCTTTGCTTTACTATTCAAATTATATGATTAATTTATTTAATTAGTAGAACTTACTGAATTAAGATTTGCATAATTTGAAACTCGAATATTAGGTCAAACTCAACCTGCTTCAATTTGGCTATGAATTTAGGGTAGATCAACTGTGAAAATGAAAATTTTATCATAAAGGAAAGAAAACAAGAAAAAAAGAAAAAAAAAAAAGAGAGTGAGCTATCAAGATCATGGTTTGCAGTATCGGTCATGATCGCGGTATTAGTTGCAGGTGCGTTGTAATGGATTCGGACAAAATCAGTATAAACTGACCGACACGAGTCACGTATCGAACTTGAAAAATGATCGCGTATCGGCCAATACGTCGCGTATCGGATGATACAATGAACCATGATCAAGATCAAGACCTTTAATAAGTAATGACAACTGCCATAAAATTTTTCTTAAATATTAATCATGGATTAAGTCAGTTTTTGAAATTTATAAAAAGACAAAAATAAATCTTTTAATAAATCTCTCAACAATAATAACTCATAATTTTTGTAATGAAAGAACTTTCTTAATACTTTTACTCTACTTTAAAATCTATATATATATATATATATATATATATATATATATATATATATATATATATTAAAATCATAAAACTAACCATCTTCAACCTATTATTTCATCACTAAAAAACAAGTCTTGTTATAAGCTTCCACCATGAATCACTTTTAACCCTCCTGCTGTATTCCATTGCCAAGATTACAGGAATGATTAAATATATAAAAGAAAAGGGGATATAAGTGTACATAGGATAGATGAAGAGGATAAAAGGGTAAAAGAAGAAAGAGGAGAAGTGAGCCAAATGAAGGGTAGAGTCGCAATCGTTGAAAAGGCAACCTGTAGATTCGTGGATCATGTGAGAAGTCTAACAAACTGACCGCGTGATCTAAACTCACTTTGCAGGATTCCCCACCACACCTGCCCCCACCATCTCTAACTGCACATATATTATGAACTTTATATATATATATTTAGCCAACTAGTATAATTTACATATACAACTATATAAACTATATAATATAATATTTTTGTTTGGTAAATCTTATGGAACATATTATTAAATAATCACGTAAAGCATTATAACAAAGTAATCCTACGCATCCTGATCACGACTTTGAGCAATATAGTGGTTCCCATGCCCAACTCCCAATCACAGTCGATGATAAGTCAGACCTATTATTATTGTTATTATTATTTTATTTTTCGTATATATAAAAAAATGAATTAAATAAAAATCTTTGTAAAGTATACAAAATTGAATGGTGGATATGAATTTTCAGGCTCATAGCCATAAGTTGTGATGAGCCATTATATATTATATATGTTGTTGGTGCAAATTTAAAGACATGATAAAGATGATAACTACTTGACTTCTAACTAACCTTTTAAACTAGCAAAAGATTGGTCATATTTTCAGGAGTGAGAAAAAACTTTGTTAAACAAATGAGACCCAAATTATGATTATGTAGTCAAATTTTTTTCTTATATATTAATATTATTTATTTTGATTGTGTTTTTAACTAGGGTAAAAGAAATGACAATAATTGATATTATCTTGAAGTTAAGAATATTAATGACATTATGATAATTTCGTCATTACCTCATATAAATTAGTCAAAATTAAAAGACTTTCATATTTCAAATTATTATCTTTTAATAATTGTTGTTAATATATGAAGGGCGAATTACAACGATTTCTCCAGTTTGATAAATTATTCGGACCTCTCCTAAAAATGAAATTAACTTACACGGATCTCCCTTAAGTTGCTGTCAACGCAAGTTAATAATGGATTTTGCTGATGTCATGTACTGAATAAATTGAAATTTCCATATTACCCTTCGCCCATCTCCTCTCTCTCACACATTCAGATAGTACTATACTCATTTACTATAACAACTTGAGTGCATTTTAATAAATTGGACAAATCTGTTAGTGCATTTGACAATCCGCACGGCCGTCACTAGGAAAGGAGGTCTGTGTAAGTTGATTTTATTTTTAGAGAAAGTTCGAGTAATTTTTCAAAGCATATGAGAGGTCTTTGTAGTTTGTAATTATGACAAACTATACGGAAAGTCCTATAATTATAAAAAAAAATAAAAATTATAAGAGATGTCCACGTGATTTACTCATATGTGAATACATGAAAAAAGCATAATAAATAATTTAAAATTTAATTTACATGCTATATAACACAGAATTTTGGAAGGAATCACAGAGACTGACACAGTTATGTCCTCTTGCCAGCCAAGGGAAGAGCTGTTGTCTGATGGGCAGTGCATGGGAACAGTAAAAAAACCCAAGAGGATGACCAGAATGCTTGGTCGTTTGACTCTGACACTCCAAACAAAGGAAAAGCTTTCTTGGACTCATTTCCTTTGTCTTCTCTCACCCCATCAAAAGAGAACAACCCCTTTCTTTTCGACACTTTGTGCCTCATCCCTTTGTATGTTTCCCTTCCCTTCCCTTCCCTTCCCTTCCCTTTCCTCCTAAGCAATTAGAAACTAATGGCGCCCACAAAGTTTTGCATTTTCAAGGCTGAAGGCAATGTGTGTGTATCTGTGTGTGTGTGTGTATATATATATATATATATATAAATGAAAAAGAAGCTGTAGGGAATATTATCGATATACAGATAATAATAATTAAGATATAAACTATACTAATTTATCCAGGCTTTCACTAATTTTATCTTTAAAACTTGTCATCTTAGCATTTTACCTAAACTTATTTTAATATCTTTTTTTTTTATTAAAAATTAATTTTAAACAGGTATTAGATGGAATGAGATTGGACACTTATCAGCACTTTTTGTGTAAATGTTTAACTAGAGGTTAGTACCTCACCACCCATTGGTGGAGTCAAAAATCTTGATTTGGAGGGCCAAACTAATATTATATAATTAAAAATTACAAAATTTTAAAAATGTTTCAATTATTTATTTATTTATTTTTTGTGTACTTTGATTCTACAGACTACATTGGAAAAAAATATATATCACTATTATTTTGATGAAAGATTGATAACAAAAATGAACTATTTAAACAAAACAAAATCTTGAAAGTTTTGAAATCATTATGAACAAAATAGAAAAGTACTTTAGTAACTTATACAAAGAATAATTATAAGAAAAATTCATTTAACAAATGATAACTAAAAAATATCAGCATATATAATATCATTTTTGTTATTGCCATTTTTTGCTATCTTGATATCACAACATCTTAGTTTTTTCTTCTTCCCGGTTTTTCAAAACATCATCTAGCAAAAATGTCAGACAAAATAAGTTTATGTATTCTTTATTAAACATCATATAATTAATATTATACATATGTATGTATACATAAATGTAGGGATAGAGCCAAAAATTATGTTCCGGGGCTATAATATAATAAAAAAATTTGAGGCAGGGTAATTTTAAAGAATCAACACATACAAAATTGATTTTTTTTTTATTTAAAGTTCAGGGGGTAAATTTATAATTTTAATAAATTATACATACAACAATATAATTTTTTAAAAGTTGAGGGGGACACATCCCTCCCTCCCTCCCGATTTCTTTTTCCGGAATAACTATAACTGAGGCTAATAAATAAGTTTTGTGAAAAGGATTTGAGGGGGCCAACTAAATTATTCTATTAATTTTGAGACCACAATTGGAGTTTGAATTAAAAAAAAAAAAAAAAAAAAAAAAAAAAAAAAAAAAAGAAAAACAATTTTAAGGTAAACAGATTTTTTTTTTTGGGGGGCTGGGGGCTTATGGCCCCTGCCCCCCTCTGCCTCCATCCCAATCACTCGATGTGTCAAGCTTTTTCGGTACTATTCGCTCATATTTGCACGGATTCAAATTTATTATGTTACCAAATAATACAAATGTTTGTACCCCACCTTTTTTTGATGTATGTAAAATATTATTAGATTGAGGACCCAATACCGCTACATTGAGAATGGAACGTTCTCGTATGGAGAACATAATTTCAAAGAAAAAATGTCACTTTTGAGAGTGTTTTACTCTCAAACTAAATGTGTTATAAAAACGTTATGTCAATCACTAAGTCACATAATTTATCTTAATATATATCATTCTCACACTTCGAACACGTTCTCACTCTCGTATTCTGTTCGTGCTCTTAATCAAATTCTTACTACTTATAACTTAAATATGCCGCTCTCATGCTCTCGTTTTCAAATTCGCTCTCATTCTTATTTTATGTGATTTAGGTCAATCATCAATATAATTGAATAACTTAAAATAATGTATACTATACTAGGTTGGCCAAACCTAAAAGAAATGGGGTGAAAGTCAATTCAATAGAAGATGGATAAAGAGGGGGTCCTCCTCTTGTTATATTGCAACTAAAATCCTTATCAACCATTTATAATCTTCACCTCACCAAAATGGATAAATAGAGGGAGGGGCCTCATCTTTTGTGTT